CGCGCGAGCGGTGCGTGCGCTGCTGGCGGGGGGCGTGCCGCCCAACGCGCGCGTGCGCGGCTTCCCGTCCTCGCTGCTGGCCGCCGCCATCGCCGACTCCGGGTGCGTGGCCGAGCTGCTGGCGGCGGGCGCGGACACTGACGCCCGGGACGCCGACGGGCGCACGGCGCTGCACTGGGCCGTGTGGGCCGAGGAGCACGCGGCCATCCGGCTGCTGCTGTCGTACGAAGCCGACCCCTTCGCCAAGGACAACCACGGGCGCACCCCGGCCGAGGAAGCCAGCTCGGACGCCGTGCGACGAATGTTGACGGCGCCCAAAGACCCCCAGCCCGCCGCGGCAGCCGCCCCAGCCGCCCCGGAGGGCGAGAACCCAGCGGCACCTGCGCTATAGCCTACCTACTAGGAACAAGACTGGTACTTCCGAGAATGGAAAAGACGGGCTGCATTATTCTAATATAGTGTCGTGAACAATTTTTGTACTGTATTTGATGCGCTATGAAGGAATCTTTGGGCTCAACATGCACCGCGTGTTCGTTTAGTCTGCTACTAGATGGTTGTGTAGAATGGACACTCTTGTATTCACGAGAATGGAAAGAAACAAAACTAGACTAAGAAGTACTTAACAGAGGAATTTTACGTATTTTAAAGAGTTTTTCAAGAAAATGTATAATAGATTAAAAAGTTCATTATTTTGCGATGCATGTTGTATGTGTTTCTGCTCCCAACAATCAACTTATAAACTTTATATATTGGAACTTGCTTCGTGTGAGTCTTCGTGTTTTGTTCTTTATTACGATATGTATCTATTTTAAAATGTTGTATACTTAATTTCAAATAGGTTGTTTCATTTATGAGGTCAAAACGTAGACCGAAAATTTGAAATATTCAATAGCAATAAAGTAAAAAGTAAAAATACTTGCTAAAGTTAAAAATATAAGCAAGGACGTCATCGCAAAGTAAGAATGATCCTGTTTGCTTTGTCAATTACTTTTAGTGCATATCGTGAAAAATTCTTGTCGCAATGTTGTTGCTCTTAAATTGTAGATGTTGGGTTGTAATTTACTGATTAAAAATTTTAGAAATAAAGCATTCTTAGTCTCTTTTTTATTTGGTTCTTTTCTTTCTTCTTTTCACCGAAATCTCTTAAGATTCCTTCAGTACCCACGAATTTCGTTAAAATTTATATAGCAATTGGGAAAAATGGCAACGGCAATAGTTATAAATATGCGGGCGGCACTCGGTTGTCCCTGATGGGGAGGTGTTGTTTGTTGGTGAAGTCTTTACCTTCTTTGTTTAGGTAGTAAAGAATTATTCATGTCTCCTTGTTATACATGTAGACTCTTAATACGCATGTTTTTTAGCACGCTTTTTCCTAGTTGTGGTTGGAGAAGAGCCTAGTTTGCTTAGCAATTCAGTCAAATCTGTAGTTTCTTCACCGGTGCAAATAAACTTTCTGTAACTCGGGAGCATAAATGTCTAGTTAACAAGGTTCCTAACCTCGACGTTAAAAAGGTGCAAAACAGATTTTGGAGCTCGAGAAAATGTCCGCAAATTGTATTTCTCACACATGCGTTGCATAGTTTTTACTGTGCTTTGAGAAAAATTAATAAAAATCAAATCATTTTGTATTTATTGAAACCTTTAAGAAACTGTCTTGAAAGTGTCTTACAGCACTTTACAGAAATTTCGAATAAAATTCGAAACTATTGCCATGCGCCAGTGCTTTGTTGAAACACCAGTTTTGTAATAAACTCATTGCAACATAATTTTATTAACCGTCTACCATGACAAGTCATACTACTAGAATAACATGGTGAAAGTTGAGCGCGTTATTATAAAAAAGGAACGCAACTGCGTCACCGCTGAAATTACCGCAATACCATATGTAAATGAAAATATTTTAACACAATTTTGCTGGAAATGTATTATATACTAACTGTAACAAGTATTGTATTTCTAGGCCAATGACCCCATCTCGATCAGATTTTGTTCAGTTTCCCTGGGTCCTTTGAGCAAAATGCGAGATGGCCCCTTGTTTGCTCCTGAACAGTAATGTAACTTTCCCTCCTCTCCGCAAGGCTCATCATTCTCGTTTAACCAAGATGTATAATAGTACTTTTGTGACTCCAATTCATTCATTATTACTTATTTCATTATTGATAATTCATGTATTATTATTATTAATCGTGCGTGGAAAACGGCGAATTTTCACAACAAAAACTTTTATTGCCGGGCCATTGTTACGAAAAATTGGATAAATCCAGTTGCTACATATAGAAAAAAATTGTCAATTTGAAAAAAAACATGTCGGCTCCCGACTATTTGTGGCGTTGATTAAATACCAGAACTCAAAAGCATTTTTTACTTAATATGCCATCATTTTCTTTCACGACGTTGGCAACACTGGCGATACCTTTAAGTGAACAATTGAATTACCTAGTAAATCGCGCTGCAGTTTGATTTCTATTTAGAGTCGTATTATTATCGTATTTCAAGTAATAAATTTGCAAATATCTACGAATAGTATTGCCTCGAAACGTATTGAACTTGAAGAATTTCAAGTGAATATGGAGAAAACTAAACTATGAGTAATGCTAGAGAATGAATGAACGTTATGTTCGACTTCGCACTTTTACGTTCTTACATAAGTGTGCAAATACTGATTTTCAGAAGAATATTACCCGCAATTTATTCTCATTCAAATGAACCAGCACCCTATTCACATAAACATAAAAAACAGTCACCTTTTAATGTTAAATTCGCATGCAACGCTAGTCACATACAAAACGATTAATAGAGCAATTGCAGGAGAAGTGAACACAAATTAGACTGAGTTAGTGAAGCGTTAATCCCTTCAAAAGTTAGTGAAGAAAAATGTGAAAGTTGTGAGGAAATCCGGGGAAGAATCAAATGTATTGTGAAAGATGTTAGGATGGAATTTTCAGAACTACTAGGGAATGATCTGCATTTTTTCATATAGCATTTGTGGTAATGGAAATGCGCAAATTAATACAAACAGATAATATCCTACAAACATACCCATGACACATACATATCGGAACCTTTTATTTAATTTCGATAGTACCATGCAATGACTGTTAATCTACGTACATTGGCCAAACTACACAAATGCTATGGAAAAAAAATAAAATTAAGGACAACACAAAAGTAACATTAAAAACTTCACTTCCTCCTTTGCATTAGCCAAACACTCTCTTCACCACAGACACACTTTCGACTTTGAACACACACAAATCCTAGCCCAAGAAAAGAACTTCAAAAAAGATTACCCAAGGAGATGTTGTACATAAATAAAGACAAAAACAAAGCTTGTAACCATAAAGCTGGTCTAGACAAATGCAGTGCCATCTTCAATTGTATTAATAGGATTTGTCAATCGAATGTAAGGGGAAAAATACAAAACCATGTAATTAATGGAATTAATTATAAGTCTAATGTTATTCCTTATATATTTAAAAAAAAATTATGTAAAATATATACAACCATAAAAAGAATTAATAGAAAGTAAAGGAATTAATAGCAAAATACAAAATAAATTAACTGATAAAGTACAATATTCATATGTTAGTAAATGTATATTCATGGGGGAAAAAAAGAAAGAGGAAAAAAGAAAAAAGTGATGTGTTATGTTGGTATGACCCATACTCTGATTGTATGACTAGTCACTAGAGATGTGATCTGTGTTAAGAGTGGTCGACATGTAGTTGTATAAGGAAGAAGATAAGGGAAAAAGCAGATGATAGGCAAAGATGTTTTAGGCAAAGAGAATGAAGTGGAAGGTATGATAATTAATTATGTACTAAGAATTATAGACTTATATAAGATATTGTAGAGTAAGATAATATATTGTATATAGGAGTAAATAACAATCTGCATAAATTTACTGTAACATAATTCCAGCCCTAATGATGGCCCAATAAAAGCTGAAACATTGGCAACCTAAAAGAAAAAAGAAACAAAAGAATGTAGAATTATTTTCTTTTTTTCTCTCTCTCTCTCCCTTTTTCTCCTTCTCCCTCTTTCTCTTTGTCTTTCTATCTTTCTCTCTCTCTCTCATATGACCTAAACACAAGAACCACATCAATTCCTATATCATAAAGGTCTTGTAAGTGGACACAGTTTCATGCAGTTAATTATTTTGCACTAATTGAAAAATTAAAAAAGGTTATGAAAAGTTACATTCACAAGGATCTCCAAAATGTTATGAAATTTGCTAAATGACTATGCAAAAAAAATCCAAGAATTGAAACTCTCACATAAAGAATTTCTTTGACTCAGCAGAGCTTTTTTAAATATCTGCGAATCTTAAATTTGATGCTTGGCCCTTTTGAGAGGTAAGGCATTCAATTCTTATATAATTTTGGAGAAAATCTTTATACACATTTCGTGTATTGATCTGAGATTGTGATTTTCAGGTAATTCTAAAAAGACATACATTTTTCTTACCACTTTGATATTTCTCCTTTTATGAAATCTGGAACTGCACTTTTCTATGGCTGTGTGTGCTGTCTAGAGGTGTGTAAAATTATCAGCCTCGTCCTGACTTTGAGAAATGTGCCTTACCTCAAGCGATGCGATTCTTCAGACTACATTTCAGACTTTATTCAGACTTTCATTCATCTCAAAGCACTCAGGTAAAGTGCCAAGACAAACAATACAGGGAAGTCAGATGTGGATTACCAGAGTAATGAAACTATGGCTCACAAAATATTAAAGGCTTTAGTTGTGGCCTTTGAGGCCTTGCAAGTTGGTAATCCCTGCTCTAGAAGATATGGAGTTGTGGTGCTAATGTAGTAATGATATTCACTCCACACTGCCAGAAAGAACTGCTCGAGTTACTAAAACCATTGAAAGTTGCTAGCTCATAAGATAAACTGGTAACAAATGGACAGATAAAAGAACAAAATAGACAACTAGCTTCAGTGTGGCAATTGGTACAAAAAGTAATAGAAAAGTTAAATGAGCTGTGTTGGAAAAAAGGCAAAACAAATCATCTGCCTCTGTTAGTGTTCCTTGAAATGTTCTTACATGAAACTGAGTGAGTTGAGGAATGCATAACTCAGCAAAACATAAGTCTTTGATTTCTCTGGAGAATATTTTTTCTAAAGAGTGCTCAGAGCAGGTATGCAGTTTCAGCTGGATTTTGAGCTCTCAACCTGACTTAGGCTCTTCTGGCCATGCAGAGTGTGTATGAGAATGCATGTAGGTAAGAAAGAACTGTGAGAACACTTTTAAATGAATGACGAATGTAGCATGTGAAAACTTGTTTTCCTGAAAATCTTCCATGATAATGCATTGCAAACAATGATTGATTATAACAAATTTTAAACTATTTACATGCCTGTTTATGGTTATGTTTCCTTTAACATGAAAAATTATATTTGAATATGTTAGGGATGAAATGGATTGAATTAATTTTTGGACATTTCAAGAAAAAGAAATAATGGTTGAAATGTATAAATGAGATACATGTATATATTATCTTTACTTCATACACATATACAGGTTTTCTCTGCAGCAGCTATATGGGTTTTGAGTATAAAGAGCTGTATTTACATTTGTACTCACATTATGTGATTCTCATTTGGTATATGTGAAATTTTACACTGTTAATAGATAATACAGCTATAAGAGTCTATAATACATGTTTATACAAACTTTTTACACAATAATATTACATTACTGTATCAAGTAAGTACATCGTTTACCATGTTACAGTCCTGTACTTCCTTTTTGCTCTCCACTCAGTTATGGAGATGGGGGCAAGTGGATAAATACCACTTTGGGCTGAGAAAACTTCTTTCAGATCCAATGGGCATACAAAAAACTACTTGAAACAGATGTCTCACCATGAGGAATTATTTTGCCAAAGTACTTGAAGAACATGAGCAGACTAACAATTTATGGAGATTGTTTATAAAATAATTTTTAAATATAATTCTTTTATAAAATGAATTCTTTCCTCCAATTAATATGAGAATAAGAATTAAAAACATAAGTAATTACTTACTAAATTAAGTAAATTGAAATTACAAACACAAAATCTATAATATTCAACAAGAGGAGATACTGAATATAAAGAAAAGGTTTCATACTCAGTATGAAACATGCCTCTAACACTTTTCTTTCAACATATTCATGAGTTCCAAATTTAGCACTCTCCAGCAAGTTAAAAGTATTATTTGTCCATAGAATTCATGTATAATAATTGCATACTTATTCCAAACTTTAACAGAAGCATCATTAAATGAATAGTAGAAATAACTGTTTTCACTCGAAGTATTTTGTTCCTGCCCACACTGATGTATTGTTCACAAAATAGTCCAACTGAGATACACTCTCATCTTAGGATAACGTTGGTGTCTAAGCTGTGATCCTTGGTGGAGTCTCTCGGTCCCCCTGCCCTCTTGAAAGGGTTCCAGGTGAGTTTCTTATGAGGAGGCAGTCCTGCTACAGTGCCTGCTGGACTGGGCTGCCCACTGGACACTCCAGAACTGGAACTGCTGTTGGAGACGGATCCTTTGGGCCCACCCTTCGGCTGCTGTCAACACAAAGAGAAGATATTAAGAATATAGGCTGTCGACCAGTGCTGGAGCGAGGCATGGGTAGACTGGGCAATTGTTGGGGGTCTCACAAGTTAAGGGGCCCAACGATGGAAATTGAAAAAGAAATTAGAACTCGAGAAAATTGTTATTGTCTTTTTTTTTTTTAAGTTGCAGTACATAAGTCTGATATTTCATATTTTTTAATTAATTTTTTGCCTTATATACTTAATTATAGTCATTACTTATAAGGTAGGACTCTGTGAAATGAATCAAATGGCACTAATATTAAAATTCATCTTATTATTTCATGAGCTTAACAACAAGTGGTTTTATTTAACACATTTTTCTTTAGCATTTTAAGATCACCGTGGAACTTGTATTAGTTGATCAATAAATACTTTCACTTAAAACTGTATTGTATATATATATATATATACAATGTACAATGTACTTTAAAACAAATTCATAATTTCTTTCTTTCTGGACAAAAATCTCAGATAATAGATATGCTGCTATGGTTTCACAATTGAAAACATTGAGGCTGAAACCAAGCAACATAATATTAACTGTGTAACATAAATTACACAACTATTAAAACATTCACAATGCATCAACAATTGTACTTTTCTGGCTTGTACTGAATTGTACTTTACAATAGTACATTTCTGGCCAATAACTGCAACATGATGATGATGATGATGATGATGATGATGATGATGATGGGAAGAGGATGTTCTGGAGAACGATAATTTTTCCTAGAATTTTTTGTGATGAAATAATATATTTTTGCATCATTTTATGGAGCTACTTTGTCCATAAAAATATAAATATCATCACCATATACTGCTGGTTGATAGGTGGGTCATCTGTTTTTTTCAATAGACCTCACGGATTTTTTTCCTTCTAAGTGTTCCTGATCTAACCATTTCTTTTGTGGACTCCTCCCTCTTTTTCCTATGGTTTTTAACTCAATGCTGTTTTCAAGAATCTCTCTTACTTCATTCTCTTAATGTGAGAAAATCATTTCTTCTGACCTTGCTTTAGTTCATCTGCTACATTTTTTGTTTTAAAACTTTTTATAACACTTTCAGTCCTATGCCTGAGTGTGGCTCGAGTTGCCATTATAATCCCACTGAACGAAGCACCAGAAAACCACGGGTAATGCATATATAAAATTTTGTAGCTTTTAACAAGCAATGTTTGGTCTCTGGTTATGAGGAAAAACTTTATAAGGCTCCACATGATCTTCTATGTATTCAGGATCATTGCAGAGACTTCAACACAGAAGCAATCTATGTATAAATTGTTTTGTAGATAGCTTGAGCTACCAAAGACCAAGTAATGATGTACAGGTACAAAGTTCTTATTCTACTACAGAAGAGAGGTCAATTTATATGATAATACTGCACTTGATGGTAAATTATTAAGGATTCTTCCTATATCTGTTTCATTATTCTCAATACATATATAACAATAAGACATACTTATTGTTCCTAAAATAAGAAACACTGAGTTTCATTGTTAATATCACTTTTTCCTTTAACATAATTTCATTTTCTTTATATTTTGTATGAAAAAATATTAAAATTAAATCAAATGGTAAATAAACAATTTATATTCAAAAGAACACTTAAAAACAAATCAGGACAGAATCCAATCATATGTCCTGATAAATCAGGATGTCATGTAACCCTAGTCTCAGCTGTAAGACCCCATGTTGTAGGCACAGGTGCCTAAGTTTCGGACATCATACTACTATCTTGAGGAAGTTCACATGGGTTCTATCATTGCTCTTTAACCAGTGTACAGTCCACCTTGCACATTTCACGTTGAGGAAGATCAGTCACAGTCACAGTACAATGGCCAAAACATCGACTTTTAATGGAAACTTACATTTTCATTATTAAATTGTTTCAATATTATATTTTTTCTTGTGTAGAATTTATTTGTAAAATAAAAAAAGTTGTATTCAAATAAATAGTGTGCAAGTTTCAGTTAACATCCCAAATCAATATTTTCCCCCAGTAGTAAGTTTCAAAGTTTTATTTGCCATGAATTTTATAGATCTGTGTCTATTTTATCACTTGATTAAAAATTCCTCAAAATGGCTAGGATTCTGGTGTTAAAGGTTCTGGTGTTAAAGGCTCACGAAGGAAAGTTTAATTTTTATTCTTCTTTGCTGATCCCATGATGTAACTTGCAAGATGGCATAGAAATCTGTAAGGTCTTTAGTCTTTGTTGATTCCTACTGTTCAATGTTGGAACTCTTGATCCAAACACAAGTATTAATTTTGAAATCATATTACAATTTTTCTTAATTTGGTCTTAAAAATATAAATATATTTCACTCAGGCAGAAGAAAAGGGTTTCAAATTCATTCTGACCCAAAGTATTATGTTTTTTAACTCTATTAGACAAATCAGTACCAAAATTCTAAGTCTTTTAGTACTGAAAAGTGAACTTAAAAAAATTAGTTCAGAATCTCTATGGGATATTTTGAATTAATTTTACAATCTGTTTAAAACTCTTAGAACTCTTCCACAATTCATAACTCTCAACTTTTTTTTTTTATATCACCTTGCCAGCTTCCTTACAACTCAAAAAGTATTCACGCCACAGCTATGTCCTGTGGTAGGGTTTACTGTGTCTCAACCATCAAAAATTTGTAAAACATCAGACAAAATAATTCATTACACCATAGCCTGTTTCAGATAACCAAATTTTATTCCTACGATTTAACAACCTATGTCTAATTTAAAAATGTAAAATTTATATTTAAAATAATTATTTAATTTTTCCTTGACTGAACCTGAAAGTTCCTGCTTCTTGGTAAGATTGATTCTACCAATATAGCAAGATCATATATTTTTTTGAGTATTCTTTGTTTTGAAAAATGTTAAGTTTGGTTAGTTTAAATTGTTTTCCATATCACTTGAAAAATGTTTACTATTTTATGTGATGCAGAAAACAATTTATACCTTTGGTTGACAGCCTGTTCAGAAAAAAGGCTGTAATAATTGTAGTTTCAGAGAAATGCATTTCTTACCATCATTTAAAATTAATTAAATGATTTCATAGTAAAATATGATTCTCACAAGAGTGAGTAATAGTCAGGAAATTTGATAAATATGTGGGTAAGTCAGAAAATTTTGAAGATGAATTTTTCTTGTCAGTGAATTTCTGCTTTTCTGCTACTTATTCTGACAAATACCTTGTATTTAAAGAATCAGAAAAACTGTATGAGAACAGTAATGAAGCCTCTGAACTAAAACATCCACAATTTCATAACAATACATGTAGGCAGGAAAGGAACAGCCATTTCTTAAGGCTTCCAGAAATGAAAGTACATTAATACTAAATAGTATCAATGGAAGGAATAATGTCATAAAATGTCACTGAAGAATTATTTCAAAGCCAGGGAATTTCTGTGATTTCAATGGACACCCTACTTACAAAATAGTCTGTACACAGACACACTCAATACTTTCTGAAATATGCAGTTATAAAACAAATTCTCTAGCAATCTTTACCAGGAGAAAATATTGTCTTTTCTACAATTAGAAATTTTTCTAAGAATTTCTCAAATATTTCTCAGTGGAGTTTTTAAAGAAGTGTAAAGAAGAATATTGTTCTCGATTCTGTTAATGAATATACTTACTTTCAGATAATTACGATCCATTGGGGTGACAAGTTTGAGACTCAATGAGTCCCCAGCCTCTTTGATTAAGTTCACTACTTCTTCATGTGATGCCCATTTCACATCTCGGTCACCAATGGCCACAATGAAGTCTCCTTCTTTCATGCCTCCATACTGCAAATAAAAACATATAATTAAGTTAGGTGCAAATGTTTTCCATTTCATTACAAACATATCTTTTTACATAACATATGAAACATGACTCCTAAATAAATTTTAAATTGGTACATACATTTCTTTGGATTTTTTAAATAATAATAAAGTAATATATTTTAGAAATATTTACAAGATGAGAAAAGTAAAATTAGATTATTTTATGAAGATGTGCAATTTTTTCTGTTTGCTCTAGAAAGTTAAACTCATTGAAATCATTTAGAAATAATCTGATTAGAGAATCATTGAAATCATATTTATTGCACAGTGTTGTACCCAAGGGAGAAGGGCAGCTCATGGAGCTTCAGCCCCCTCCCTTAGAGTCAAATGATACACCTTTTATTAATTTTTTATACTAATGAAATTAATCATTATATCAGTTTTTATCAGTACAAATATTACATTTAGCATACTGCATTAAGTCAACAAATAACAATACATATTCAGCACCAATAATAAATTCTTTAAAAGAAAACATCAAGTTGTCTTGACACTACACCTGTAGCACCCTCCCTGAGAAATCTTGAGTGCGTGTCTGACAGTATTTTATACAAATGTTTAACTAACAAGATTTTTTAATGGTATTCTTCTCTTTTAATTTTTTTTTCCAATTCTCACACATCAAACTGCTGAGAGAGAATTATTGTTAAATTTCATTTTTGTCCATAAAATTACATTAAATTAGAAACAAAATAAATCCATAATAAAATTCATTGAGGATATAAAAATTGAAGGAGAAAGCAGATTTCCAAATAAAGACTGAACAGATGTGAGTGAATTGGTGTGTGTGTGAGTAGTAATTGGCGAATTAGTTGGTTGATGCAGGATCAGTACTTTAGTAGACAGATAGGGTTGATGGATTTATTAGTTGCTAGAGTGGGAAGAATAAGAGGATGTTTGATTGGTAGATTAAATTATTAGTTAGAGGGAGGCTGGGTAGGTATGTAGGGAAATTAATGGTTGATTGATTGCTAAGCATTTGGAGAATGGCAGGGCTGACGATGGGTTGGATGGTTGGATGTTGATGAAAAGAGTGTAGCTGTGTTTTTTCTGCCACTCATGCCGTCCAGGAACAGTAGGAGGAATAAGAGGTTGGTTGATAGATTGTTTGTTGGAAGATAGGTAGGTAGAATTAATTGGCTGGATGGTAGATCAGTCACCGGATTGACCAATGGTGTGAGAGTGTGTGCACTCAATGGTCAGTTGGTTGCAATGTAGAGGCAGAGGGCTGTGGCATTCATGTGGTGGGCTGTATGGTTGGCTGTCGCTGAACGTCAACGAGGAATACTGGGAGAAAAGCGAAGTTGGAAGGCAGATTGGTTGGAGAGCGGGAGGAGTGCGGGTGGGTCGGTCGGTCGGTCGGTCGGTCGGTCGGTCGGTCGGTCGGTCGGTCGGTCGGTCGGTCGGTACGAATTGTGCGCCATTCGGCTGGCAGGCAGCGCCGCGCCGCCATTCGGCTGTCAGGCGGGTTGCAGGCGAATTGTACTCACGTCGGCGAGGCTGTCCTGGTCGACGCCGGCGACAATGACGGGCGCGTCGCCGCGAACGCTGAAGCCGAAGCCGTCGGCGCCCGCCCGCTGCAGCTGCACGCTGCGTGGCGCCGTCCAGTGGTGTTTGGCCGAGAATATGGCGACGGGGCCCAGCGCGCGGAACAGGTCCTCCACGCGGTGCGCGCCGAAGTCCGGCGGCGTCAGCGACAGCTGGAACTTGGTGGACGCTGCAACATACAACTCCAGTCAGCTCTCGCCTCGAGATAAGCCCCAACTTTTACCACGTAATACACAAATACACGCATAATGAACAGGCCGAAATAACTAATCTGCAGGAAAAAGAATAACTAAAACAAATTTCATGGATTATTTTCAAATAATGTATTTTATTTAAATATCAAATAAATATTTTTAAAGAATTACTTGACTTTACTGGGAAATGCATAATTAAACGAAACTATTTAAAACTATATATTTATAATAAACTTCAAAACAATCTTGAAATTATCTTAACTTACTCTCATCAATATGATTAAGAATACTTCGCCATGAAAATTGATAAGTGACGAACGGTGTGACTGGGTTTCTCTAACTTCTATGTCATTGCTTTCCGGGAAAATTTTATTTCGCTTGAAGAAAACGGATCAGAATGCCTTCCTATAAAGTTACAACAATGATTCAGTGGTGTTCAACATACTATTCTTGGGAAATGATACCGTCAAAGCTCGCTATACATACGCCATACACATGACATTTTCCCAGTCGAAGGTTTGGTTAGTTTTCGCATATCTGCTTGTTTTTTTTAGTTGAAATTGGAACTTTATCGATCTTGCCCGGCAGTCATTTTCCGAAGCTCCTAAAGCGCTCAATGATTTGCACAACAGCTCTGCCTTAGTGCGTAACACGCGCGTTCATTAAGCAAATTGTATTTGCGCTTCCCTAATTTAGACGCGTTTCCCCAATTAATGTGAAAATGCACTTCGTTAACTGTCGGCCCGTTTGTTAAGGTACTGCTCCGGCATTCACGGAAAGCTACTCAGAGCAGCCGCCCGCTAGAATTCTTCACCAGACAGCGACTGAATTCGACCTAGTTGACAAACTATAGTGTCGAAAATCCTGCCATCGTCGGGACTTGAACCTAGAACCTCCCGGTCAGAGGGACTACAGTGACATCAGTTGACGCTCCGAGCCATCTCTCCCGGAGGGTTGGTACCGGTACCCGAGCGTTGACAGAGCTGCAAGGGGGTAGGGGGAAGTACTCACGCTGGACGCGCGGCGGGTCGAGCACCTCCCGGAAGTCGTCCTCGCGCTCGGCCGCCGTGTAGGCCTCGAGGGCGCGCTGGTGGGCGGCGCGCAGCACGGCGGCCAGGGCGGCCTTGCCCTTGAGCTCGCGACTCATGCGCTGCAGCCGCTGCGTCTCCTCGTGCCGCAGCAGCGCCTCGCGCAGGTGCGCGCGCCCTGCCACAACACACATCAGAAGATAGAGAGAAGTTACTCCAAGATGGGACCAGATTGACAGGGCGCGCAACAAATCAACCTCATGTAGGATGATGACACTACGAGAGTAGTGTCCAAACTATTTACAAGCGAGACAACTGCTTACGAACAAATTGACAAATTGAGCGCATAGGCATAATCTGCAGGTTTGCTGCCACCATTAGCCCAACAAAAACTGTCAAAGATGTCCGTTCTTAAAATAATCTCTCTATTGTATGGGTAGTGGGTGTATATCTAGAGGGGTGGCGGTGTTCGTGGCCAGTTTGAACTTGAGATCTGGCGCCGACTTATATGTTCCCCTTCCAGGTACCGCCGCCAGCGAGGTACAGCTCCAGAAAGGACAAGCTCTAAGCTCCCAAC